TGTGATCCATGCAAGAGAGACCTTGTCTCCTTTTCTTGTTATTGTTTTGAAATCAGTTATGCAAATTTTAACAGGCTGACCTCCTTCCCCTGAGACATTTTCCATTAGTGCCAAGATGGTAAATTCCACTTGATTCACCTGAAAGACTATTTTTTTCTCTTTTTTCTTTCTTTCTTCTCTTCTTTTTTCCTTCTCTCTATCTTTCTTTCCTTCTTCTGCTCTGTCTTTCTTTCGTTGTCTCTTCCTTTCTTGTGTTTAATGTAAATGTCGGTCTTGCTGCCTGTGTTTCAGGGTAAATAAAGGCCTAAGGGAGACATCAGTAAAAGGACTTTTCTTCTTATTTATGCAGCACACATAGAGACGAGTCTCTGACCAAAATAAAACCAGATAAGATTATCTGATTTTATTTTTTCCTCATCTTCAGCTCAGTGTAATTGCTATTACAGCTGGAGATGACAGACGGTGCTATTCAGGACTTAATTTTAAACATCATAATTAAGTTTTTTTTTTTTTTTAGATATTTTATTTGGATGAATTATATTGTATGATTCTGAAGACTATAAAGGAGCCGTAGGATGTCACTCAGATTGGAGGCTTAGTCAAAGTTTTCAGAATTCATAAATAGGCCTAATTAATAATGAAGGCACTCTGCCTTTCTTCTTATAATTCTTTACAATTACGTTTATCACAGACAAATGCAGTCATGGTAAGAAAGAACACTGTCTTTCAAGCCTTGGGTTTGACATATCAGCATATGAAACAGATTCCACGCTGTCCTTATTTATCAAACAAATCTGAAGTGAAAATAGTAAAACTATGAGAGAAAACTAAGTACCTCCTTGCTGCTTCCATCAGAATGATGTGAGAAAGCAGCAGCCGGCCACTGTTAACCACATGTTAAGGTAGAAAACAAATTACAGTGTATGACTGTTTTCAATAAATTATTTTCCAATTATTTTTTATGCACTCAAAGATTCAGGGAACAATAGAATAGAATAGAATAGAATAGAAAGTTGAGGCCATTTTTTTCCATACCTGTGTAGATCTGGCCTATGAAAGCTCAGCATTGCTGTACCATTAATGACTCAATGCAATTGACTGTCATCTGTTGCTGTATTCTTCACTTTTAGATGGTTTGCTGCAAGGTCAGGGGATTTTTGCACTTGGCTGAGTTTAGAAAACTTTTTTTTACCACTTTGAATAATAAACTGAACTTGGCAATATTGAGACAGGATGAAATGTAATGGATGTAACTGACTATATAGCTGCCTATGTCGTTGGATTTAATTGACAGCATATTCCTGTATATAAATTGGATTTTTTATTTTTTTTTGCAAAGTGCCTGGAAACAACATAAATAAACAAAATTGAAGTATATCAAGATAATAAAGAGGGTATTGCATAATACAGGAAAATTCAAAGTTGGTGACTGAACTTTGCGGTTTGAATCAGTGTTAAAACACCTGGTAAATAAGTTGTCTGTCCTTGTCACTGACATGTACACACAGAGGACAGGAGGGCAAATGGTCATAATGATCTTATTCAGAATGTTCTATATATTGTGTATATACAGTAATAAAATTAACTATTGTATATGTATAAAACTTAGATAAGATCATTTTATTAACACATTTGCTATTTTTCTTTTCTTTTTGTATTTTGTTTAATCTCCTTAATTTCAAACATCGGTTTTACTGCTTATCTCTATTTCAAAGTTTTCATTCAGTCAGCAGTATTTGTGTGTGGGACACCCACAGATTTTACTGTGTCGTGCTGAGGAGGGAAAAAAGCATGGGAATGTAGCTTTTCACCGTTTAGGAGAATCAGTTAACTATCCATCAACAAAGATCAGGTTACACTGACAAGCTGGTTCCACACTACTGGTCATTGCTTTCACTGACGGGGCAGTTTTTTTGTTGTTTTGTCAGTGTTTATGGTCTCACTTTCTCTTTTTATAGCCTTTTTGTAGATGTCTAAATAGATGTAAGGGTCTGATGTTAGACGATAGATTAATAGATATATTTATTACTTCATAAATGCTTAATCCCGGTACGGCCTATTTAAAAAAATTATGAGAAGAAAGATGTATATCAAAAAGATTTTATTAATGGTAAAAACACAATATACAGCATGAAGCCACACCTTATTAACTCCTTCTGTTTAACAAAACTTTTACAAACAAACCAACAATTAGGTGTAACAAACTAGAACAAGTGAACATATTTACACAGTACAACTACCACCATTATATTACACTCCCAGACTGTAAATGAATCCAATTGTTGCAGTACTAAAAACAATGACAGTCTCACTACTACTTGTTTATTATTTTTGCACAGGAACAACACAATCTTGACATCACTGTAATTCAACTACCCCTCTTAATAAGCTGTCTGTCAGCGCTGAACGGCATGGTGTCAGCAGATTAGAGCTTCGTCAGCTAAAGTTGACGCAGCTCTCGCAGAGATATATCTGAAATAAAAGCTGACAGGATCTGATAGCAAGGCAAGCCCCTTTTTTTACAGTTGGACAATGTAAGGCCACTACACCTGAATCAGCTTTTTTTGTGGGAATCGAGCACCGTTTAGTACGCTCATGTGTTATAGCACTTTCACCTGTCTATGTCAGCAAAAAGACACTATGTTTTGCCAAAACGAATACCAGACATTTGAAAGATCCTTCTAACAGTTTTTCCTAAGACATCATTCCCTCCCCTTACATCTCCTTAAACCTCTGTGCCGTCTCGATGATAAATGATTCCAGTGGAGCTCAGAGAAGGATAGAAATGCCCACTGGACCCAGTGTACTGGCTCAGAATGGGGCTAGAGTAACCTAAAGAAGAGTGGGACGGTGAGGATGTGAGCACAGAGGGAGCTGGTACCTGTGGTACCCACTCTGAGACACCTGAGTTGGGGGAATAGTTGCTAAAGTTTCCTGGCTGGGTGGGTCTGTGCGGTCCATCTAGGGGGAGGTTAATCTGCAGCGGCCTGCCCAACCCATCTCCCCCAACCTCGTTTGCTGCTCCAGTAGAAACTGTAGACATTTCGGACAAGAAGCTGCTCAGACACGGCGTGGGACCCGACAGTGAAGGGGAGGGGATTCTGTCCGGTGTCGGGGACATGGCAAGGGCAGGGTGTTTGGGGCTTCCCCGTTCACTGTCTCCTGACTCTGGAGCCCCTGAAGCGCCGTCACCACTGTTGAGGGAGTCAGACTTTCTCTTCCTTTTACGGCGAAAGTTTCCATTGTCAAACATCTTCTCACAGTTCGGGTCAAGTGTCCAGTAGTTGCCTTTACCTATTGGACAAGATGCAGTTTAAATTTAAGATCAAACAACAAAATGCATGACTCAGTCAAAAACTATCCGAGTACAACGATAATGACACAATTTGATCTGAGTGTGTTACCTGGATCGTCCTCGTCTCTTGGCACTTTTTTGAAGCAATCATTGAGTGACAGGTTGTGTCTGATGGAATTCTGCCAGCCAGCTTTACTCTTGTTATAAAAAGGAAAGTTATCAGCAACATATTGGTAAATCTGACTCAGTGTCAGTCTCTTGTCTGGTGCTCCATGGATAGCCATTGCAATCAGAGCAGAGTAGGAATAAGGTGGCCTGACCAGCTTCATCAGATCTTCTTGTGAGGGAAGTGAGAACCAGCTTAGTTCCCCCCCTGGACCGCCAGGTCCAGCTGGTCCCAGGTAGGGTCTTTGCATGCCGTAGTGCTGAGGTACAAACGGTGGGCCTGGATTCCCGGGTGGACCATTGCTGGACAGGTACGAAGAGGAGTTGATCCCGGAGCTGTTGAACCAAAGGTACGGGTTTGGAGATGAGGTGGTGTAGTCGCTCAGTTCATAGGAAGAAGGAGCTGTCCGCTGAGGACTCGGCAGGGACGGAGGAGGGTAGTAGCATTCACCGTACATGCTGAGCTCTGGCGGTTCCTGGCCTAAACTTGGAAACTGTGGACCACAACGAGGAGGTGACTGGTTCTGGGTCTCAAATGAAGACATCATCAAGTTTCTTTCCACCTCTTACCCTCTTCTGATCTGTCTGTTTGTTGTTGTCCTTCCTCTTCGGCTAAAATTACTGACAGTTGTGCCAGTTCCTGAAAGTCTTTCTTTTTCAGTACTCAGTGAAATATTGACTGGTCATGAAAATAGGTTTTTCTTAGTTTTAAAGTTGAGGACTGTTCTTCTCCAATCCTTCCTTGTCTGCTTGTCCTTGCTCTATGTCAAGGTGTCACCTGTCACAAGTATATATCTTCTCATTTGGCCCGCCCCAGTGTATCTTGATTGGTGCTTTTTCTAAGGTGAGAAGCCTATGGGTTTCTCTCTTCTTTTTTTTTCTGTTGTCAGCTAATTCAGTTCCCTGAGGGGGTTTTGTTCACTCTCACTTAAATAATTTTCCACTCAATTTGATGGCATGGCATAAACTCATTTCAGATTTCATTTTTTTCTTTTGTGTGCACAATTGGCTACAAAACACTTAGAAATGTACAAGCTGAAAACATCAGTTTATTTAAAAAAATTAAAAAGTGTTTAGAATAAAACTTCTGTTTTTTTATTGTTTTTTTCCATACAAATATATTCCCATGTTTTTGTATTTTTATGTTTATGATTTTTTTCTCAGCACAATCTAAATGATCAGATTTACAAAACATGCACAGTCTCATGGTTAACATAGACATATAATGCAAAATAAAAAAAGAAACAGGGAAGGCAGCTATCAGTTAAGCTGAAGGCTTTGTGCTAGTTGGAAGCTCCCTAAATCAAATTTTGTGTGGGACCCCAACTCAATTTTTCATCAAAATGAGAAAAGCATGAAAAAGTAAATTGTTTATTATGTTTGTAATGTGATTTTCCTTTTCCCAAGAGGTAAGAAGTAACAAACACTTGCTTTATACATGAATTAATGTGAAAATACAAATTTCAGAATTTCTAAAGCGGGACTTTAATTGACGTTTTATCAACATATTTTAGCATTTAATAGCTTGCTTTTTAAGGCAGGCAATGTGATAGGCAGACAAAAAAAAAAGAAGCTGGAAGTTCGCGCGCACGTTATAAATTAGCCGAGAACTTTCTTTTTGAGCTCCGAACCGGTTTTCGACGGTGAGTTTTAAACTCTGGTTAAACTAATAAACAGTATTAAAATTTAAGTAATGGAATAACTCCAAAAATAAGCTTCAGTAAGTAATTATCGTGTTTTGTCATGACGTTAAATTACCCCGTTTTACCTGCAGCTGCTGCCGTGCTAACATAAAAGGTCTTGCTAACCCAACAGTCTTAACGGTTTTCTCTAGGAGCGCAATATAAAAAGCACAACTCATTAATGATATTAATGACTATAACTTTGCTGTGACGTCTTTGTGTGGTTTATTTAAAAGAAACGACATAAGCCATGTCTTTAAATCAGTGCTACCCGTACATAATATAGATGGAGGATTCATCATGTCCTACGGTGCCTTCACGGAGCAACACCGACATGTATAAACTGAATAAGGAGTTGGAGAGAGTGATTGAGGATGTTGAGGACATATCAGGTGTGTAGCCGTTATATTTAATCGCATTGCGAGCCACTCATATTGTTACAGCTAATTGCGCCATAATGGGGGAGAAAAAAAAAGTTCCATTAATTTAACAGCGTGTGTTTATACATCTATGTCCACCCGCAGTGCAGCTGACCTGGATGGCTTATGACATGGTGACGCTGCGGACCGGTTTCGAGGGGGAAGCGTGTATGCGGGAGCTGCAGGAGGCGTACAGCAGATGCAGGGCGGCTGTCTTTGGGGAGGCTGTACCGCAGCCGCAGATGGAAGCTGGTGCTGAGAAAGCTGACTCATCACAAAGTCAAACTGTAGATTAAGTCTATTAAATTATACTCTGATTTATTGCTCCCATGTCAAAGTGGAGTAGCTATGACTTATTTACATGAGTTTCTCAAGTTTTAAACTGTTCTATTCTGTTTGGATGAATACTTTAAATAAAGAAGCTAATATATTTAACAAGGTGATGTGTCATTTTTTAATCACTGACTTGAATTAAATTTTTATTTTTATATACAACAATCACAGCACAGTAACATTACTTTTAACATTGACAGTGGTTATTCTCTTATGCCAGACTGGTGTGTGCACATAGTTTGCATCAAATGTTCTCTTGTAGCATTTTTCAGATGGAAAACGCAGAGAAAGAAGAAGAACAAGTTACTACCCCTATCGGCACTGCTCTGGAAAACATCCTGAGAGGCTTAGACTCGCTGTCCAACAACATGGATCAATTGGCATGTATGTTTTAACTTTTTATCCCCTCAGTTTACATTTCCCACAAAAAGTCTAAAGACATCTGCTTTTCCATTTCTGAGACGTGATACACTTGGAATATTACAGCAGTTTTTATATTTTCCTATAGATTCAGATGTCAGCAGTCCAAATTGGCATTAATTTGACAGCGCTGTCTGTCAGATCATGAGTTGCTGATGTGTAGATAGGGGTAACTGAAGGATTTTCACGCAGATGGCTTCCTTGTCAGTCGCTCTGACGTCGTTGCAACTTAAAATCTGCCTCAGGCGATGGTTGTGGTTAAGTTGGCAGTCAGAGCAGCATGCTCTTTTTTATCACGTTCACTTATAGCCATCAGCTCCTTTCAGACTCAAAGTGGGATTTTCTAACTAAATTTGCTGGATGCTTGGACTTGGACTTCGTTGTGATGGTGTGTTTGGTTTTGTCTCTTTATGACAAATAATTGTTTTGGATTTTCTAAAACTTGTTATTATTTTGTCATATGAAGGCAGTCTAAATTTGTGATTATAGTGCCCTGCAGAAGTTCTACTAACTCTTGAGCTTTTATACATTTTGTCACCTTACATCACTTTTGCATTTATTTTTATATGATTAAGAACAGTGCTGTGCATTTGTATTCAGTCTCCCCGGGTGAATACTTTGTAGAATTCCATCCTGCTGAAATCACAGCTGCAAGTTTTCAGTGAGTGTTTTTACCGGCGTTGCACATACCGAGGCTGACATATCTAATTCTTCTTCTTTGTATTGGATGGAGAGCACCTGTTAGCAGCAATTTTTAGGCTTTCCCACATATTTTTATCTAGTTTCAGGTCTGGATCTCAACTAAGACGTTCTAACAGATGGAAATGCTTTGATCTGGACCCTCTGGCTTTATTATTTGAGCCATTGTCCTCTTGGAAAGTAAACCAAATTGTTTTGCAGTCTCTAATATGGTTTCTTCCATAACTGCCTGTTTTATTAAGCTCCATCCATCTTTCCATCAAGTTGGATCAGTTTCCCTATCCTTGCTGCCACTACCATGTTTCCTAGTGGGAAATGAATGTGCACTGTGCAGTTTTTGACACACAATGTTTTGCATATAGGCCAAAAGGTTCATCCAGCCAGAACGCCATCTTTCACATGTTTTGTTGTGTGCTCTGCATGGCTTGTGTCCAACTCTTAAGTCTTACATCTTTCTTTCAGCAACGACTTTCTTATTCCCACGCTTAAATAAAACTTTTTTTTTGGATTATCGCAAGGCAAACAATTGTGAAATCTGTTAGCAGAGTTTCCCACTTGAGTTGTGTAACTGCAGATTTTAGCTGTGCTAAATTTTATTTACCAGAATATAGATGTGCTACTTTGTGTTGGTCTATCACATAAAGTTCGTTAGCTAGTGATTAGACTGCGACAAAACATAAATAAAAGTTCAAGGCGAGTGAATGGCTTAGCATGACACTGTACTTTCAAAACATTTTTTTGTGTCAAGTCAAATCTGAAATTCCCTAGACCTTCTTAGACATGATTATATGAGCATGTGTTGCTTTTTCTGTGCGAGCTCATTTGTTTGTACTCATCTTTTTGTGTACAAAAGCATCATCCACTGTAAGTCACGCTGACAAGGAAGTAACAACAAGCGATCATCAAGATGTCAGCGAGCAAATGAAGTCCAGCAAATCTGAGTCATGACAGACTGATGCAATTTGTAATTGAAGGAGGGAATAAAAAGATACACTGTGTATACAATTACATTTTTCCCTACGTGGATTGCTTTAGCTGCAATAACAGTTGCCATTGACCCGAGGCTACAGTGACAAATGATACTGGGTTTCTCTGCAGTGCGAACCCATCTGAAACAGTGCGATCTGCTCATCTCTGTTAGCCACCCTGACAAAGCGGTATTTCTCCAAGAAAAAAAAAAAATCCCAGAAGCGGTGAAGCAGCAGCAGCAGACCGGACTTTGAGCCTAACCTGAGGCGTGAGGAGCAGAGGTAATCTGTGTGGAAAAAAGTGCATAATTAAAAAAAAAGAAAAGATATCCAACACCTAAGCCAAATAAAGGGTACTCATTTCTGTTTTTTTAAGAGAAAGAGTTAAAGCAGTAAATATGATAATTACATAACAATGACCTTTTGGGATTTTGAATATTGTGACATTTATTTCAGAGCTTATTAAAACATCTAAGAAAAGCAACACACATGTATGCAAAAAATTTGCATGCATGGAAGACAGAAACATATGCGAGCACTCACGTTAAGCCTGCTGTTGGCGTGGTCAGAGTCCCGCAGGGTGCAGCAGACAGCACTGCGGCTGCTCCTCAGAGCACTGGTCTGTGGCATCTTTGAGCAGCAGCGGGGTGCTCATGTGATGGATAATCATCTCCTTCACCCTGAGGAAGCTCTAAAGCACAACAGCACACACTGAAAATGACGGGGACCTAATGACGCAGCGCACAGCACAAGTCGGCATCACACATTCCCTGAGGTGTGCCGCAATATGTGAACTTTTCAGTTAAATAAAAGAGAGCATTTTTTTTTTTTTTTTAGGTTTGCAGTGCATTTTAGCTCACCTTAGTGTTGTTTGTGCCATTTCCGAGGAAATAGAAATCATTTTGTCTCTGGATCTTAATGTTGAAAATCTTGCCTTGATTTAGCAGCATCAGAGTGTAGGGATGTTGTGTTGAGCCGTGTGAGCTGTCCCTCACTAAGAATGCTCCATCCTTCGAGAGATGAAACCACACATGAGAATTGCTGTTTTTGGGAGGGTTTTTTTAATGTCTCGCTGAAATGTGTGCATCTCTCTGTGTGTCTGAATATTTTATCAACAGAGAAAATGATGCAGCATCGAACCTTGTTCACCTCCCAGAGAGAAACTTCAGCCTGGTTTCGAGTTATCCTTCCCTTGTACCAGCTGGGATCCAAACCCTGGATTCACAGCGAGAGAAAAGCCACAGTAAAACACAAACATATTTTTTACATTTCTGCTTGATATTTTCACAGTTGTAGAGACAGAATATGTACCATGTATACTAAAAGTAACCTGATTTGTTAAAACAAAAGTGTTTTTAAGTTCTGTATCAGACTCGGAAAAGGTTTTTGCTGTTGTATTGTACAACATCGCCATCTGCTGTTTTGACTCTGAAAATGCACTTTTTTGTGTAACTAACTTCAATATAAATCCCAACCATTTTACCTGTACTTGTTGCTTATTGACATGTCCTGTTGTTCTTGTTGGTTGGTTTGACAGAACGTGTGATGTTGGTACAGGAACATGGGGAGTTATATTATTTGCCCTGAAAAAGAAGAAGTAAAAACAAATGAAGAGGAAAAAAAAGATGAGGACAGATAAATAACTTTAAACCCCAATAATTCTTTTTTTTTATTTTATTGTTTTTATTTTATTGTTATTTTACCTGTTAGACACATGTTGCTGCGGGACTGTTGGTAGCGGGCGCCTTCTGGTAAGTGTGCCGGTATCCAAAGCAACACTGCCCCCTGCTGGATAATTATAGGTAATGTGAAATTTAAAGAAATGCTTTAGCAACATGTAAACTTCCTTTTATGAACTGTATATACCTAAGCGTGTAAAGGCTCTCTGGGGAACCGGAGGTTTTTCTGGCTTCTTATTTGCGGCCCGTTGAAAATTAGATGAGTGAGCTGAAATGAGGAATAGCAAACATTAATTGGTTCTGAAGTAAACACAGTCAAAGTTTCTGTGCTTTCGACACATTTCTCCTCATGGAAGCTTTTCATTACCTGTGGGAAGACTGTGAACTTTAGACACCCTCTGGGGGTCAGGCAGTGAAAAGACTGGATGAAGCCTGTGATCTTCTCTTGCTTTGGCTTTATGCAGATTATCTGCTGTGAGCGGCTCAGTAAGAGGAACAATGTAGTTTCCATCTGCTGCTTCTTCGTTAAACTCCTCATAGTCACTTTCACTGTCCTAGTCAGAGGAAAGAGATCTGACTTAGCTAATATGCGTGTAAAGTTTGATCATAATAATTATATTACACCTCTTTGTGTCACATGGGAAATTTGGTAACACTTTCTATGACGGGGTGTGCATAAGGCTGACATGACACTGTCATAAACGTGACAGTGTCATGAACATGAAGGACTCTTTATGAATGTTGTCATGAAGTGTCATTCGGTAAATAATGACACATTTAATGCAAAGTTGCTTTAAAAATTGCATTTAAACACCATTAAAAGTGCTAACTTTGCATTAAAGTGTCATTATTTACAAAATAATGCAACGTTGGGACTTTTAATGGACTTTCAATGCATCTTTTAAAGCAACTTTACATTAAAAGTGTCATTTACCGAATGACACTTCGTGACAACAGTCATAGACATTTGTAAAGACTCCTTCATCTTCATGACAGTGTCGTGTCGGTCTTATGCACACTCCGTCAAATAAAGTGTTACTGAAAATTTTATTGCTTAAATGTAATATTTGTTTTTTTTTGTAACTAAAACAAACAAAACAGAACTACATATTGTTTCACTTACATGCTCATCCCAGACTTTTTCACCTTGCACTGTATAGAAATGAAAATTAATTAGATTGCTATCAAATTGCAAAAAATATGGTTGATTAATTTTATTTGCAAAGTTTAAAGGATGGGTTTTTACCTCCTGTAAGATTATTTCTTTTCTTAGATCTGCACATTAAATGAAGGTGAGTTCTCCTTTTTTGTGGTTAGTTTCGATTTCAGATTACATAAATAACATCTCTTTACTTACTTGGAACCAAAACTCTTCCTCTTTTCTTGCTTATTGACATCTCTTTGAATTTTTGCAAGTATTCTGCAAACCGTGGGAGCCAAACAATCAGTATAATATCAACAGTTTAAACTTGTTGCACTACGACCTGCTCTGATTCTAGTTAAATAACATTTATGCCAAACTCACGGGACGTAGGTGATTGGAAACACTTGAAGATCACGCTGGATCATATGCTAAATGAGTTGCATGTTTTGGAAATAAGAAAGTCTGTTACTCATCAAGATAAATACTCAGAATGTTGAAGACTGTGAGAGCTGAAAAGTAACTCACCAGAAATTGTGCTCCAGTTATGCCCCTCTTCAACACTACATTGTCACAGCCGAATAACTTGAGCTGAGAAAACAAAAACATATGTTTTATGAAGCACGAAGTAAAGGTTTTAACATACAGTTCTATGCTCATTTTGGACTGAAAATAAAGCTGCCTTTCTTGTTTGGAGCATTCTTTTGTTAATGAACTGCAATTAGGATCAATTCAATGCAATGATGAAACAACTTCTGCTCTTTGCATTCTCAGGTTTGCCATCATTTCCAGGAAAGGTACTGTCTTTAATATCTTAGAATCGCATAAATGCAACGTTAAAAACAACAAACTACACAGTACGATCTGTCGTTGCACCCTATAAAAGAATCGAAACCATTACAGCATTCAGTCAAATTGAACATCATGAAGTATGAGCACTTTTATTAAAGCAGTGGTGTAGCATTTGCCAAGCCAGTCATGCTCAGCCGTGTCTTGATGCCATGGAGCGAAGACTCGCTGAACGCACAACTGTTTCTGCCCACGTTCCTGCTAAAGACATTTCCAAAATAACATCAAATGCATCGTTTTAAAGTAACAGGAAAAAAGAAGATATTCAACTGCAAAACATGTTGCTTGTTAAAACACACAGAAAATTAGCCAATCACATAGCAGCAACTCGTTGCTTGCATCTAGAGTTTGGTAAAGACGATTTCCTGAACTTAAAACCAAGCATCAAAATAGGGGGTAAAAGTAACTTTAAATGACCTTGGACATAGATGAGAGAAAAGTAACATTTTGTCAAATAACTCGCTGCACATCAATCCTTGAAGGACATTCGCTATAGCAGCAGAATAGCACGACAGATACCACACCAAAGAAAAATAAACTGAGGATCCATTTTGCTTAAACTCACTAAGATTGGATTATAACAGTTTAGAAAAACACTCCCGGGTTTGATGTGTCAAGTTTCTAGATGTCACAAGTAGCAGAACCATCCTGCCTTATATCAATAGTTTAGGGTTATGGTGGTAGTATAATAGAGATGAAAATTGTTTCTTGACATACTTTGGGTGCAGTTGTAACCACTGAGCATTGTTTGTCACATCCCACCTGAATATTGTTGGTGACCAAGACCATCCCTTTATGATCATCTTTTTTGGGGATTTACAGATTTGCAACGTGGATGTATAGCCAACTAATCAGGTCATGATGATTTGACTTCAAGCAAACCAAAAACTGTGAAGGAATGTTTCTGACATCTTCGTCAATCTGCGCCATCAAGAATAAGGGTGGTTTTAAGGGCAAAAGGGGATTAAACTTGATGCTAGAAAAATGTCCCCAAGCCCATGTAGTTGCTTGTCTTCTCTGTTTGCTGTTACTATTTGCTGAGTTCACACCATCCCATGTTTAAGAAAGTTACAGAGCCTCAAGTTGTAGTGAATCAAAATAAGCATTTATCATTGGGGTGGAACAATCTAAATGAAGAAAAGGTTGCAACATGTAAGACTATCTCTAGCAGATTATTTCTGCTAGAGATAGTCCACAAGCCTTTAAAATTTGCTGTATCTTTCATAAACACCCATTTTGGCTTCTAAATAAACACCAATATCATATGTAGCTTATTTGAAACTTTGCAGAGATCATTTATTGTGGTGTTTAAAACCTCTGAAAAATTCAACACACTGTGACATTCTAGCTGATATGCTAAATTCACTTCACCTACTTCAAGTAATAGACTGTAAAATTATCGTAAAACACTGGAGCATAACTTTCTTTCGCATGAATCAACTCACCTGTCTCATGTAGTCTGCTAACTTTTTTGGCTCCCACGCCATCACATCTTCTTTAATGGGACCGTCGGTTAAACTCATCTTTACTAAATACCAGATTAACAACAAATGAAGCTTGCTGGGTTGTCTCCGAATTACAAAAGACCTAACCATAAAGTCTAAGACTTTAGAAGTACCTCCTCTGCCAAGGAGACTTTTGACATCCTCTTCTTACCTCTGGTCTAATTAAAGAATGTTTCAGTGGTCATAAAGGGCTATCTTTAGAGCAGTTAGTCACTGCAAAGTGTAATGCCTCTAAGCACAAAGCCTGCTGATTTCCTCTTGCATGCTAGTATACACTGTAATAAGTTTGCAAGTTCTGTAAGCACTTTAACAACAGACATTTAATCTACACATTTCTTAAACAGGTATAGAACTGGTCAGGTTTAAATAAATTGTGAATGTTCAAGCTCTTTGATTATGCTTTTCCTACACAGAGCAGAGTGTGTTTCTTACACACTTTGCTCTGTGTGGTCACAGGAAACACAGAGCAAATGTTTCCTTGCTGTGAAAGAACTAAACACTTTCCCGCATTTTGTGTAGGATAGTGCGTTTCCTGCACACTTTGCTCAGACATTAAAAAATAGCATCCTGTCATTTTATATTACCAGAGCAAAGTACATTTTTGAGCTTAATTTTAAAGGTAATAACCTTTACTGCAAATCTGTTATTTTGCTCAAATAGAATATCTCAACATGGACGATTTTCAGCTGTAGGCATTTTATATTGAAATATACGTCTTTTAATACTTTTTATTGAGCCAGTCATAAAAAGTATTTATGACTTTTTATAATACAGTAATTAAGAAGCAAACAAGGCACCACTTAAAGTAGCAAACATTCTTTCTATTCTAGGGTTCTATGTCTGAAAACATGCTCATGAAATCCTTACCATGTCTTACTTTTTTTGTCGATGCAACCCTACAACACCTTACGACGTATAATGACATCCTGTCACTGAGTAGTTCTATGAATCACCTTTACCTTACTTTGTCACCTTTCTTTTGAAACCCACAAACATTCAATGTAACCAGTTACCATCAGAAGTAACTACATTTGTAAACAGAGTGCACTTCTTTATAATTTCATCTCAGGTTAAATCCAGCTGTTCAAGTAAATGCCTCAGAAGTGCCATAGAGAACATTTGTGAACAAACAGCATCACAAACACCGAGAAACGCCACCAGAAAGGTCAGGAAACGCAGAGACGTTAAAAGCAGGGATAAGGTTTTATAACATCAGAAGTTGTGAACATCTCACAGAGCACGGTTCTGTCCATAACCTGGACTATGAAAGAGTATGGCACATTGCAAGGGCTCTTCATGTTCGAACTTTTTTGCCTATATACAAAGTGCTCTCTGTAGGAAAATTAACACAATGCAACATGGTGGTGGCAGCATCATGCTGTCTCAAACAGGCCAAGGTAGCTAAACAGTTGATAGGAGGAAGAATAAAGTTAAATACGGCGACGTCTTTGGGGAACACTTAGAGGTTTTTTTCCCCCCAGTAAGACAACAACTCTAAATATACAACCAGAACCACAATGGAATGGAAGGACGATTAAGGCAGATTTATGTGTTGTTAGGATTACCCAGATAAGATCTAGACCTAAATTCAGTTGGATATTTGTGGCGGTGTTCGAACACTGATGTTTGCAGATGCCCTACGTCCAATCTAACTGAGTTTGAACTATTTTGCAAAGATGAACGGACAAAAGTTCAGTCTGTAGATGCGAAGAGCTGGAATGCGTAACCTATAAATGTTACAATCTGAAGCAGAACTGGACATGCTTGCTCACATGGGGTGGACCAGCATGTTCTGTTCTGCTTCAGAACTGTTAAAAGGGTGTATGTGTTAGGAGCGTGCTCAAAGCCTGTTCAGCGTGCTTTTAATTAGTTTTTCACAAATACTTGTTTATAAGGAAGGATTAACTGCAAGTTGTCTGGAATACCCATGTGCAAACTTGACATGCAAAATACAATAAATGTCTTTTCTTAAGAACATTGTTCACCTTCTTTCATGGCATTGCGTCAAATTCATGTAACTCATTTTCCATGCATTAAATTTACTTTTAAACTTGCAGTAGGCATGCCTGTGTTAAATAAGGGGTTTAATATGACATATGTTGTCAGTTTCGGGCTTTATATCTATTCTTTGACCTGGTAAAGATCTAAATACATTTTAGCCTTACACAGAGACTTACAAAACCTTCAAGTTTAAATAGTCAATTAGGTCTTTTCTTTCTAAATTGTAACACATTGTGTTCAACCTTAGTTGTCTCGCAGCAGCAACTCCGCCCTGCGTCAGCCCCCCTGGTATCTCACACCCAGGTGACAGGGGAGGGCAGATGGAAGAAGGGGTGATCAATCACTCTTAGATTGTCACAGACCCCCAGGCTAGCCTGGATGAATACATGAGTAGCCCAGGGGGGTCCCAGTGGGAGATCCCCTGCAACTTCCCTCCCTGTTTTCCTCTTTTGTCCAGATTAGGAAACATGCACCCCCACAAAACCTGGGAGCTGTGGATGAGGCAGGGAATACAGTAAATAAAAAGTAAAACAAGGCCCCACTTAAAGTAAAGTGTTCATGAAAATAATTTAGAAAATCCAAATTGCTTGAGAAGTGGCCTTGCAATGGCGAGTCATTGGTCAACTCTGCAGAAATTAAACTTTTTGTGAAAATAAAAAGATTCATTGGAATCTTTTTTTTTTTTGTTTTTTGTCAGAGCCATAAAATACTCAGTGGAGTGCTGGGTTTAGCAGAACTGATTTGGATCTTCTTTATTACTCAACAGGGCAGCATGGAAAATATATGGCACATCCAAGAGTTTGATGTTGATTAAGATACAGATTGTGACAATGCTGTTTGAGCACATTTTGATTAAATGAAAACAGTTTCTTTGCTTTCTTATTTTGTATTACTTTATTAACATTGAAACCTCCCATCTGTCCCTACAGTCTATTTAGATTTTAGCCTGTAAAGAGTATAGAAGCCCTTTAACCAGCCTAATTTCTGGTAAACTTCCACAGCCCTCTAATGCCCTGTAGATACAGACCCCTGAAGACTGCAATATCCTTGCCATCTCTCCTTTGTATAAGAACCTGGCAGATTTATGACACACCCTGCTGAGATGAAGATTTTTAGAGTTCCAGGGGGTCAAGAAGAGGAAACAAATGAAAGACTCATTCAGGCCTGTGGGCAGAGAAAACAACCCCCTCAGACCTAATTATCTTCAAATTAAAACATTAGAAATATTTGAAATTCTTTTTTTAAATTATTATTAGAAAGCAAGTGTTACTTAGTTGAAGCGATCTACAATGCAATAAAGGAACACCAACTAATGCAGCCTGTGTTAAAACATTTTGTTTAACCCACCATGTATGTGACAGACTACATTCGGTGTTGCCTGTGGGATATCCCTCAAAGCAGCCAGTTCTGACAGGGATTATAAGGCCAGATTCCTTCTACCTCTTGCTGGAAAGCATTCCCTAATTTGTCTTTGAATGTAGTCAATACACATTGACATCAGAGTGACAGTGGATCAGCGCTGGATCAACACCTTGGCTAGGTGTTGATCTGCTGCGTGTTGATCTGTGTAATCCTCTCCTTAAGTGGATTCAGTCCATTCTTATTGTAATGCGTTAGTTCGACGCAGTAGCGAGGGAATGTATTTATTTATGAAAGCAACTGGACTTTTTAAGAGATTTTTTTTTTATTAAAGAAAGAGGAAAGACATAAATATATGCGCAAAGGAAACACTGACATTGATGATTAATAGAAAGTGCAGCCATAAAGACAAAAATAATACAAATATTTACAAACTCATATTTTTCATTTGGGTCCACGGTATCTCCGCCAGACAGCATAGCCGTCCCCGGCTTCCCTCTTCGCACACACATGCTTGACTATGACCTGAGAGCAGTCCTCGCAGTTCACCTTGCAGCACCAGTGGAACTTGCAGTTGCAGCTGCTCACCACCTCCGTGCGCCTCTCCTCCACTCTCAGGCCGCATTCGTGGCACAGCCGGCGGCAGCTCCGGCGCTCCCACTGGGTGAGCCCGGCTCCGTGTTGCAGACACTCCCTCCCCTCCGTGCCGTGCAGCCCCACACTGGCGTTCCTCCTACAGTAGTCGGGCGAGTCTTCCAGGTAGATGAGCTCCGTCTGGGCCACACCGCCAAACGCGTCCACGATGGCTCCCCGGCTGTCGGCGCTGTTTCCGGCTCTCACGCGCCTCTTGTCTGTGTCCAGCTTTTGCGCCTGGCTGTACTTGATCTTCAAGTAATTACCGATTTCTCTAAAATCTGACAACTGCGTCCAGCACGTTTGCAGGCTGCAGCTCTCTGACATGCCGTGGCACCTGCAGATGCGTTTCGTCGTTGCCTTCACGGCCTGTGGGAAAATAGAGTTGATCGGCGGATCTACCTTAAATTGGAAATATTCGCTTAAGCAGGACGTACTTGCCGTCCTGCCGCGTTGTTGTGCAAATTTACTGCGGCTCTTGAGTCCTGGCCTGTCTCCTGTGCGTCCACATACTGTTTGGAAATCTTTTCACCAAAATCCAAGTTATCACTGCAGCCACCCCATAACCAACCCCGGCCACCTGCATGCAGAGAAATCAAGTTAAAATTCAAAGCACTGATTTTTACCGCTATTTTAGATCACATTTCGTGGACCTCACCAGTTTTCCCATTATTGGAGACATCGCAGCCACAGTTTTCAAGGTCTCCCAGGCTGCAGTTCCTGGTCAGAGTGTACATGACTCCAGCAGCACTGATGGCATGCACGAAAGATGTTTCTCTGGTTGCTAAACAAATAGACATCGTTACAATACCAGCAACTCTTCCTTAAAATGCATGTCGAAATGAGCCAGAAATTGTACGATGGGAACAGGCACTGCATGGTTGCACTTTTGCATCCTTTATCTTGAAGAATTTTGAAAAGCATCTGGGAAATAACTACACCCTACCTCTTCTCAGACCTCTGGGATGGGTTTCGCTGTCAGGGCAGTTCCATCTGTCCCACGCAAACTGGTGTTTGCACTCCTCGATTCCATTCTGCGTGCCCACCTGCACGCTTTTTGCATAGGTGAGGTAGGCCTGTCAAAGAGACGGTTTTGTTCATAAAGTGCTCCTGAAATAAAAATAATTAAAGCTGCACATTTTTGTTTACCTTCGGTCCTGTCATTAGGAAGTTACTGGCCACCCTGAGAGAGAAAATAAATAAATTACTTTGCCTCCCCTTTTCCCCGTTATCCCTTTTCCAAATAAGAATCACACATTATGGTGTCTTACCAGGCGTGACCCACGTCCATTTTTAGATGGAGAAACAGAATCCAAAAAATTAAATGAGCCATTTTGTCATTTGCAGCACAATCCTATAGGAGATCTTTGACATTTGGATCCGC